AGAGAGCTCGCGTTGAAGAGCCGTCCAAAGGTCCGTCGCGGCCGCTGTCGATCGAGTGGAAATGTTCCAGTGCAGTTTGAAAATGTCGTGAGAATGGAATAAAACTAGGGACCGGCGGATTCTGCTCGAAAAGGTGGCATATTCTGCTCGAAAAGCAGTGAAATTGGCAGAACCATACAAACCTTATGGCGGGCAATTCCTCGAATTCTGCTCCATTTTTTTATCCATATACCAAACATGCATGAAACTTACCAGAAAAAGTACCGAATTCTGCCAATTTTTCTGCCGGCAGAATCCGCCGGACCCTAAAATACAACAGCTCTTCACAACTTCAGGACTTTGTTGTTGTTGTATTAATTTTGTTGTTTTGTTTTTGGGGGGGGGGGGGGTGGCGGATACCTTGGGCCCCCTCTTCGGCCAAGTCCTGGATCCGCCACTGTCTTCGTTTCTGCTCTCCTTACAGTTGGTTGTGCTTTTCCGTGTCCGATAATGTTCCCCCTTTTGCAATAAACAGTCAGGCGAAACTACTCTAAGTAGCTACCGCTACATGGCGCAGTGAACAGGATCAGTGATAAAAAAATAACATTGATCCGCAACGAACCTGGTCTGCAACTTCAGGATCTAGGATGGCTCGCGTTCGACAACGCCGGCGATCGCGATAAATCTCAGGAAGTGGAGACGAAACTCTCGGCGTACGTCACGCCCGTGTCCAACGTCGTCCACGGGCGAACGATGTTCGAACGCGACACACAGTCGCCATCCGAGACCGTGGACGAGTCACTTCTGCGTCGTCTCTACGGCGGCGCGGACAACGGCGACTTCAAGGACGCTCGCGATGACCGCATCCGCGATCGCTTCACGACACACCACTGCAAGCCAACGGCTTACTGCAACGGCTCACTGCAACGGCCCACTGCAACGGCTTACTGCAACAGCTTACTGCAACAGCTTACTGCAACAGCCTACTGCAACAGCTCACAGCAACGGCTCACTGCAACAGCTCACTGCAACAGCTTACTGCAACGGCTTACTGCAACGGCTTACTGCAACGGCTCACAGCAACGGCCCACTGCAACGGCTTACTGCAACAGCTTACTGCAACAGCTCACTGCAACGGCTCACTGCAACAGCTCACTGCAACAGCTCACTGCAACCGCACAGTCGTCATCGTCATTATTTTGTTGTTGGTGTTTTTTGAACCTTTTTTTTACATTGAAAAGGGGTTTCAACTTTGTCAACTGACACCCGCTCTATTCAGTTGCTATTCATGATCATCACATGACAAATTCTTTATCGTGATGTCGAAAAATTATGACGTTCACCCATCGACGGGCCATCCTCAGAACAAGGGGTGAACCTGGCCTTTTATAGCGAAAGCAAGCAAGAGCGTATGTGTGTCCATGTACAAAAACAAACGAAACACACAATAGCAAGATGAGCCCCAAGATCGCGACATCAATCATATACATGTAGACAATCTATTCTGATTAAAAATTCATTATACTATAAGCTATACGCGTATCAGTACAACCGTACCCGGCCGTGTACATGTATAGCTAAAAAGTCTTGTACACTGTCATCATGGTCATGCTACTGGTCTTGTCATAGGCTCCCGGAGATATTCTTGGTCGTGTCGATAATCCATACCGGTACTACAATGTCATGTACCAAGAGAAGTACAGGACATGTACATGACGTGAGTGTATGCTCAAACCACAGCCACACATATTTCCCATAATTATATTTTTGTAGCTGTGACACAAAGAACAGTAAGAAAAGAAGAGAAATGTAGTCCATGTCTTCCATGTTTGAACTCTGCTATTACCTGTACGTAAACTTTCACTTCAATTCATACTATGGAGAGGTGAAACACCGTAAGTGGACTGGCCAGTCGACAAGGTTGAGTCGATACCTTATCAACGGGCACATGCATACTAGCACTAGCAAGAGTTTACCATGGTTTACGGATGCCTGATACTAGCAAGAGTACATGGCCATATGGGGCTATGTACTCTTGATACTAGTCATGAACTAAAAATATTCAAGTGCCAGGTATGCCCAGTGCCCTACCATGATGTACATGACGTGTGTATCGTCGTGTATATGTGTGCCCAGTGCCCTACTGGGCCATGATGTACAGGAACCTCACGCACTGGGTCGGCCGTGTGTGCAGTGCACTTGAGCGTGACACAATCCATGTTTTACCTCAGACCTCAGACATGCCCATCGCGGGAGCGATGATAGCGAACAGCTATGTTAGACATAGCAACTTGTGCTGGGATTACACCATTCAACAGCTTTTACACACACACACACACACACACACACACACACACACACACACACACACACACACACACACACACACACACACACACACACACACACATATGCACACACACACACACACACACCATGTACCATGTATACGCCCGTCGCAAGAGAAGCACGCACATCTGCAAATGCACTGGATGTGCACCCACAGATTTTCTCAATATAGCAACGATAGCGAACAAGATCTGAATGAGACAGATCAAGACTTGCGCCAGATAACTGTCTAATCCACACAACTGGCGAAGCCATGTGAATCGACCACCAATGCACACCTGGTCTACACCACACGGAGTACATCGGTATAAAACGGCCAAGACAGTTATCTATGCACACCCTACACTTGCTGGGGTAACCAGTATAGACAGCACGATGCTTTGATAGAAGCAGACACTAGATGCACTGGCACCTTGAAGTGAAATTGGAGTTACTTCACCAACCAGCCTCAGCTACTGAGTACTGGGAAACCAAAGCCAACAGACACACCAACAACCTCAGCCATGAAAGCTAGTATAGTAACGACACACTGGATTGTGGAGCCGAAACTAGTCCAACTTCCAAATGCTTTGGCAAGAAGGTAGCCTTCCAACAGGTTGGCACACACACACACACACGCACACACGCACACACACACACACCCGCTCGAGTACACGAACAGTGCAACAAACCCACTGTGTGATATTATACGGTACGGGGCCCGTTTGAACTTTGAAGCTTTCAATGTGCAACACTGGCAGCAGTGTTCTTCAGCAGACAAGGACATGATAAATGGATATATTTGGTGACTGTAAGAAGGACAGCGCAGGGCTGGGCAATCAGCAGGTAAACAAAGGGAGACATCACCTCGAATAGAGAGAGGTAAAACAGGGAGGAGAGAAAGAGAAGCAGGAATCTTCTTTCATAAACATCATATCAATGGGAGAGACAGACACACACACACACACACACAGAAACAGAAACAGAAAGAGAGAGAGAGAGAGAGAGAGAGAGAGAGAGAGAGAGAGAGAGAGAGAGAGAGAGAGAGAGAGAGAGAGAGAGAGTGAGAGAGAGAGAGAGAGCACAAAACATGGCCGAGACGGGCTAAAGAATGAGCGAGTGGAGAGGCAGAAAGGCGTGAGGATCCTCAGTAAGCTGAACAATAGTGATTGCATAGACTCATCATTTCCCTTCATCTAGTAAATCAAAAATTTGAAAATGGACATATCCGTGCAGAAAATAGAATGGTACTCGAGGCATCATCAACATGCCAGCATAAAAATAGGATAGCAAAATAGCCATGTCAATATCAATCAGTAGTGGCATGTTGTCATCATCACTTCCATGTTGATTTGGTTCATTTCTTGTGTGTCATGCAATGATTATGTGCTGTGGTATTGTGAAGTCTGCTCCTGCAGGTGCCAGCTTTGACACGAGGAGGTAAAAAAGCAACAAAAAGGAAAGAAAGAAAGAAAGAAAGAAAGAAGAGGAGTTTCATGCCATGCTCTGTGTATGTGCTTGAAGTAGTGTGTACGTCTGTGTTGAAGGCAGGGTTGAAGGCAGGGTTGAAGGCAGGGTTGAAGGCAGGGTTGAAGGCAGGGTTGAAGGCAGGGTTGAAGGCAGGGTACGTGTACTTCAAAGTAGTTGTGTAAAGAAATTCGAAAGAGATCGTCAGTGTGAAAGAAATAAAAATGAATTTTCGGGCTAAGAAGCAATAATATATCGGAATTTCGCCTAATAATCGAGACATGCATGATAAGTAGCTTGTTCAAAGAAAGCAAACTGGCTGCACTACTAAACATGTGAACTTCACATGTTTACTTAATTGAGAAGGAAAAAAGGAAAGAAAAGAAAGCGGGCATGGACCTGGCCAGGATAGCAACCGCTGGCACAATCGGAACTAGGCTGAATCAATCAGGTCTTGTACAAAGCTGCCGAGTATCTTGGCACGTTTACAGCACTCTGTGTTTGTCTAAAATAGAAAAAGAGCAGATGACCAGCCGTGCACACACATACAAACACACACACACACACACACACACACACACACACACACACCATAGTGTGCGACTCAACGCCAATAGTAGGCACTTCAGTCACGTGACCAGACCTGTCAAATTTTGCTAAGGTGAGAGTGCGTACTTGCGTGGCACCAGTCTAGTGCATGTGCAAAACTGTATAGGTACGCGCTACGCTTCGTTGTACGGGCTTTATAGTTGGGCGCATCGTGTTGCTCTGACGTTCAGCTTTCAGTAGATCCCACATACGTCATAGTGCGTACATTTTTGCGAGTTGCAGATCACATACACTTCCAGCAGAGAGTTTTTTTCACAAAGAATTGTTGTTTGCTCGGGTTTGAAACGTTGCTGTCGTCTTCAGCGTCGTCTTTCCATTCGGAAACAGTTGAGTTCTTGTTTACCAGCGTTTGCGCAAGGAGAAAGCATGGACGTAGGTACTGAGAAGTATGCGCTGTAGGCGAAGGAGAACGACGATGCGTCGTCCTACATGGGCGAATTCTCAAAGCGTGCTGAGAGCCAAACTTTGACACGATTGCGCTGGAAGGCCTACTCATGTTTATGAACAATCAAAAGGCACAGTGGCTGCGGGAGAAATCCTCCGATGAGGGGATGCTTTGATGTACGCAGCCAGGCGCGCTGCACCCAAATTTCAAAGCTCACCAGCAGGCAATTCATGACTGCTGCATGGAGCAGTTGAAGGAGAGGGAGGCAGATATCACACCATGGAAAGAAGCTACTAATAGAGGTCCTGAGGAACTTCTTGCCAACTTGGAATTACTTGAAGTGGCATGACTATGGGCACGAGTGTCGTGTGCAGTAATTCCGCTTCTCTTGCGTGTACATGCTATTTTGTGCGCGCGTGTTACCCTCCACGTCGCGGCGTACGACGTTGAAGTGCTCTGTTGTTTCATGTGTTGGTGCTACCTAGCAGTAAAGCAGCTCTACGTACACACCTGCATATATATGGCAATAGGACTACGAGCATGAAACCTTTCATCCCTGTAATACTTCCCATTTCGCCTTCAGATTGCCCACAATGGCACCGCAAGCTCAAAGTCCCCATATGGGACTCACCCTGAGCAAATATCTCATGAGCAGTACTGTAAAAGCCATTATTCTAACGAGGCGCATATATAACGATTTCCCCAAATTGACCAGTTTACGTGTAGCAAAGGTAACGATTCTCACTCATTCTCAACGCTCAATAGGATAGTATATGTATTGATTTCTGGATAACGATTTCTATTTTAACGACAGATTTCTCCTCGTTAACTCGTTAGAGTTAGCACTTCGTTATGGCTTTTACAGTATATCCCAGCCTCCCGATCCCGGGACCAAGATCACTTGATTTAGCATGCAAGAAACTACAAGACTCCGGCTCTCTTTTTATTTATCCTCGCTGTCACAATGTGTGCTATCTTTGCCACAGGAGTTTGTGTACACTTCTCCTAACAACAGCCACATCCCTATGGCTGACCTCAGTGGTACATACATCAAAAAACGTGATAGAGGTAGCAAGAGTGCTCCGAAGGCCTTATTGCTCTCGAACGTCTTTTAAAAAGGAGCCAAAAACGGACTGCGGACACAGCATCAAAATTCAAACCACACCACATTGTCACAAAGGAGCAGTGCAGTACTCGTCACACTCCAGTTTCCATATCTTGCTTCACCTGAACAGGTCCAGACAGTCCAATATTTCTCACCCATTCTTGGTACGAGGTACAAGAACGTGAAATGGCCTCCGGAGGAGAAGAACTCGCAATTTGAGCGCGGGAGCTGGAAACGAAAAAGGTGATTGAAGCGATTGGCAAAAAGGTGTGCAGTAACGCTGGTACACCGTGCTGCATGTCAGTACGAGGTGAATAGCAATTTCTGGACATGAAAATAAAATAGAGGCCCACTGGCTGTGTGTTTAACATTTTTCATATCTTTTTGTATCTATTGTATGGCCTAATCCTTCATCTTTCCAAATACGTGACAATTGCTCATGATGTGATCCCAGAGACTTTATAGCAGGATGTTTTCGACAGGCCAATTTTTAATTTCAGTGTATGGAATTCTGGACATGAAAGTAAAATAGCGTCAATAGGCATCCTATACTGCACCATTTTTGTTATTTTTCTATTGGTGGACTGCAGTTGGCCTCTTCACACTTCCAGCCAACAGGTCCAAGACTATACAGCGTCTGAAGTGGAGTGCACATGGGGAAGCCAACGATTCGTCCATTACTTCTTATTTTACTCAAAATTCAAAATTCTTATGCTACATAGTACCACAAAACTCGATGAAATGCCTCCCAGGAAAAGGCTATCAACAAGGCACCGACACGAGGAGAAACTACAACAGCCCAGCTGTCAACTACAACAAGAAAAAACTTCATCAACCTGACTGACTTGACTCTACACGCAACGAAAAATTATTTTACTCGAAATGTCCAGAAATGTACAATGTCCAGAAATAGCAATTCACCTCGTACAGGACTGGCTCAGTCCTCACAGCCACTAGCTAGTGAGTATAGAGTTTCCCTGTAGAGAACATGTGTCAGCAACGCATCCACTAGCTTCGCAAACTGGTGTCGGTTCAGCACACGAACCAATCATGAAGAAAGCAAAACACTTTCGCACGTTAGCACACGAAGAGACGAAGCCAGTTGAACATCTGATGAGGCCTTTCGTACCATTACTTCCCAAATCAGTACATGGTGATAATGGTACGAAAGGCCTCATCAGATTTTCAACTGGCTTCGTCTCTTCGTGTGCTAATATGTTTTCCTCCGACTAAGTCTCTATTTAAACTTTTGTATGTGTAACTGTTGTTTGTTGTGTCGCTCGATGTCAGAGATGTTTTCACCAAGTACATTCGAGTCATCATCAGAGGACAGAGGCAGTGTCTGAAAGAGAACAGCTCGATTCTAGAATCTTGGATTCGATTTTCGACGTACATGTACAGTTTTGCCACCGTCCAGGCATGCCTACTCAACAAGCTACATGACATTGTGTGAAAAGACATTGCGCACATTTCACTGGATAACACATTGGAGTTTTTTTTCTTTACGGTGGTCTCCAATAGCAGAGGGATTTACACACGGTTTTTACTGCGGCACAGATGTGATGAGGTTGCAATGAACAACGTCACCCGCGGCCATGACTCGGCATGAGCATGATGCGGAGTGTGATGAGGTTGCAATGAACGTCACCCGCGGCCATGACTCGGCATGAGCATGATGCGGAGTGTGATGAGGTTGCAATGAACAACGTCACCCGCGGCCATGACCCGCGGCCATGAGCATGATGCGGAGTGATTCAACACCTACATCCCAAGTGGCTTGGTAACACTCCTGTAAGTCTTGCATTCTTACCTGCCAGCGCTGGAAGAACTTTGCTGCTCCTCGGAATCCAAGGCCTGTAGTAGGTCAGAAACGAGCAAGATACATACACACACACATGCATGGATGCATATACGCACACCGGCTAATCGGATGCATCATCGTTTGATGTGCTCTGCATTGTTTATGTGTATGGGGTGGGGGGAGGGAGAGTGTGCGCGTGCGCACGTGTGTATGTGCATACGTGCATGTGTGTGTGTGTGTGCGTGTGTGTGTGTGTGTGTGTGCGTGTGTGCGTGTGTGTGTATGCATGCGCAGGTGCCCAGACCTGCTCTTTTAGAATGAACTTGCGAGGGCCCTGTACCTTTTACACGGTACACTGTACCAGGCAGGGTGCCTACTCACCAGTAACAATGGGATTAGCAAAGTCCTGAGAGTTGTGATCACACGGTGTGGCTGCCGTCTTGTTGACCAAAGCCAGTACTTGATGATTGCTGCTGATCTGGTTACAGCTGGTCAGGATATCACTCAGCAGGTTACTCACTACATCACATCTGTAGGAAAACAAACAAGTTTTCAAAACACACACATATATACATGTCCATGCGGAGTTTTCTTGTGAGACATGTTGAATGTGGCGTGTCACAACGCAGAAAGTGATATTGTGAATCATGCTCCAGACTTTGCAAAAGTCAAAGCATTTGTGAATCACGGATCACAGTCACAGCTTGTCACAAGAGTTGCAAGTCACATGTCACAACACAGAAAGAAATATTGTGAATCGAGGTTTAGACATAATTATTATGCTCATCATCTCGTGGACGCTGTGGGCCGAAAGCACCAGTGAGAAGGCAGTTTCGCCTGTTCATGCGGCAAATCAACAACAACGACGGCCACAACAACAACAACAACAACAACAACAACAACAACAACAACAACAACAACAACAACAACAACAACAACAACAACAACAACAACAACAACAACAACAACAACAACAACAGCAACAACAACAACAACAACAACAACAACAGGCAAGATATGGTCGGTTGCTTAGTAGTGCTTACATGCTGCTGAATGTGGAGTTGAAGTGAGTACTGAAAGCCACAATGTAATCACAGATGTTGGGTATCTCATCACACTCCTTGCACAACACTAGTGAACATGCCTGAGCAGCCATCAAGTCAACAACATACACACACACCACACACACACACACACACACACACACACACACACACACACACACACACACACACACACACACACACACACACACACAAACACACACACACACACACACACACACACACACACACAAACACACACACACACACACAATAACTACAACACACAGCAGCTTGCGGTAAGGAGGGTGCTGGCCAGCGAAGTGAGAGGCTACAGAGAGAGCAGGATCTTGGCGGAGCCAAGAGGATAGTCACGTCGAGGGACGAAGACCGAGAGCCCTGAGTAGCCGGAAATGAGCATGGCCAACACCCCTTTATTTACTTTATCAAAGTAAATGAGAGATGAGAAATGGGAGGTGGGTGGGTGAAACACAATGATCTGACAAGAGTGATCCACGCACAGAACGAATCGAAATATATAACTAAGCAAACTTTAGCATGACACTTTGAGTGCCCACGACGCATACCGCCTACGTTGAGCGTCGCGCATGAATGAATGTCACGTTGAGTGTCACGTTGAATGACACATAGAAGGCCACGACGCATAGAGTACCATGTGAACATGCACCAAGGCGTGTGACCGACATTGATACCGTGATGTACAGCGCACATGACTGTAGCCAGCAGCAAAGCATGAGCATGCAGTAAAAGCGCCAGCAATCATAGCAGCATAGTTTGCGTGGTAGCACGAAGCAGCCGCGTGCACCCATCAATCTGCATTATTACTATAATGCTACACACACGCACGCACGCACGCACGCACGCACACACACACACACACACACATACACACACACACACACACACACACAATCAGATGTAGCAACAGAGACAAACGCATACAACTGTAGACAAAGCAGCACGGTAGGGCACAGTACAGGTATTCAGAGCACATCCGCTCACACAAGGGTGCAACTTTGCATGTGAAGTTCAGGTGGCGAATCCTCAAATCAGCTAGTGCACACGTGCGCAAGTAAAACTTCCCCTCTGGACCTTGGAGGTCAGATGATGCACAGTCTGGTAGATCTGGCAGCTATTACGTTCACTTTCCATCGGGGAGAGATACTTTACTACTCATGTATTCACTAAAGTGGCCCTGCAGTACACCCAGTGTGAATAGTGAATACAGTACCTCACCATGTCAGCTGTTGCTGGCAGCTAGGTATACAGCAAACCATAACAGCCATGGTGATGCCAATGGCAGCAACAATAATGGATACAGCAACGGCAGCAACAGCACCAGCACCAGCAACAATCTAAAAGAACACGCACCGTTAAGTATGTCACCAGAATCTGTATGTCGTCGTTCTCGAAGATCTTGCAGGTTTCCAGTGCAGACACGGGCTGCATAGCCTGATTGCTTGGAGCAATGGCCGTCGAGAGCATCTTGAAGAGTAGATCATCATGCACTGGATCATGTAATGCATCAGCAGCATCACTGGTCTGGGTGCCGCTGGTCTGCACCGATGTTTGATGGCTGTTAGCATAGCTTGCCGAGGGCGGCATCAGCTCAGCTATCGTCTCACTGATGTTCAGGCTAATGTTTGCCTGGCACGACATCTGCCCCGGCATAGACTGTGCTGAGAGGCAAGTGACGGTGTCCAATGGCGATAACTTGCCCTTCGGTGCTTCGTGATCACTGAAATGCAGCTGTGCAGTGGCAAACAGACATTCAGACAGACACACAGACATGCAGCAGGCAGCAAGTAGGCAGACACATACGGCATATGGGCCAGGGCCGCAAAACAAGGCATGGATTGGCAGCTACTTTCAGATGTACCATTTCAAATATTTCAAATCGCAGCAGTGGCAGTAGGTAGTTCTTAGGTGGCAACACAGCTACATGTAAGTTTCAAGGTATGTCCATCACGACATATGAAACAAGAATTCAAAAGAGGGGAAAGCGCCAGGGACGGAACATACGAGCACATAGCTGTGCTTTTGAACCAACTAAAACAATGAACGAAGAATGTGTGTATTGCATGATGTTGCACGTGTACACTGCAAATAAGTATGAATGTGTGTGCACACATACTCAGGTGTGTGCACGTGTGTGAGTGTGTGTGTGTGTGAGTGCATGTGTGTGTGTGTGTGTGTGTGTGTGTGTGTGTGTCCGTCTGTCTGTGTGCCTGTGCATGCACGCAGTGTGAGTGCATGAATCCAAACTACTTGCTACTGTAGCATGCCAGTTGTACACACAGCATACCAGAGTGCTGCTCATCGAGGGCTGGACGGTGTTCTTGGCCGGTAGGACAGAGTCACACGAATGCCAGTGACTGGAGGCTATGGAGAGCACTGGCTGGCCTTGGCCAGACATCAGCTCAACCATGTTGCGCGCTTCCTCGTTGAACGGCAGCAACAGCGCAACAAATGGCCAAATAGGGCTGCTGAAGATGCTAAGCGCAGCAGGATTTGTAGTACAGTCCGTACTCCTGTAAGCATGTTCGAGCAGTACAACAACAGCAGCAAGCAGCAGCAGCAGCAGATCATAGTATAGGAGTCATATCCTGGGTCAGACTCGTGATGAAAATGACCGTGCACTGAGCTACCAGCACGTCAGAAGCTGGACTCCGTACTATTCTTGCAGGAGTATCAGACACGTTGCGGTCACTATGGTGTTGACCGTATCACTGTTTGCCCCAGTTACCCCGCGAATAAACAAAACACACCGATTCGAGCTCTAATTTTCCGGGCCGATACCCCCTCCCTCATGAGTAAATTGCACTTCAGATGGCTGACTCTACCGCCCTAAAACGCCTTCCAATGCCCCTGTCTTGCGTTCCGTCAAAACCATGGCTAGTCCTGTGAGGGCGCTGATACTTTGTAGTTGGGTAATCCGTGCCAGTTGTCATAATACAGTCAGACCTCGCTTAACCGCACACATCTGTTTTCCACTAAAATATCCGGATCGGCGAGGGAACCGGATAACTGAGCATACATAATGTGTGTGCATGTGGCATGTCAAAAGCAGTGACATCGTACATGCATGTCGACAGGTCTTACATATTACGTTATGCAGTACAACTAGCGTGCCCAGTATGTAAAACAAGCGAGAAAAATGACAAGTGCATGCAACTGAGTGTTGTCCACATGCACCCAGCAGGTCAGGGACCTCATTTGCCTGTACAACTCCCTGATGCTAGCTTCTGCAAGCCACGTGCAACCGGATACGACGAATCTTTTTGTACACATTTTAACCAGTTCGTACACAAAATCATGCACCAGTATGCGGATCGCGAGGTCCGGTTATGTTGTATGCATAACATATGCTGCACATCGGTAACCAGCAATTTTCTTCCGGATGGCGAGGGATCCGGATAAACGAGGACCGGATAAGCGAGGTCTGACTGTAGCCAATATTGAAGAAATTAACAGGCAAAATCCCCAAGATATCCAATTTCGGGGTGCTCATTACTCTACAATGTTAATGATGACCAGCTACTCTTCTTGGCAAAGTGGTCATTGGCCACCCCAGCCATGTACTGCTTGGAATAAAACTAAAACTAAACTAAACAGTTCATCTCTACCTGGCACACTGACTATTCTAAAGAAACTGGCACCAGAGTGCTATATAACAGCTAGAACATACCATGCAGGATCCTTGTTGAGGCGCAGGAACAAAAAGATGACACGCTCCGCAATGAGATACGATGACTTGTCTTGTGAGGCTACGTGCAGCGGCAAAAAGAGAAAGAAGAGGAAAGTAACATCATGCTAGCAGTTCACAACACCCAAAAGTGCAAGGCAGCTTCAGCTTGGTCTATTGAACTAAAATCAATACCGTAAAAGCCCCTGTATACGCCCACTCGAATTTACGCCCACCCTCCGGTTACACGCCCAGCCAGGGGAAGTCATCATTTTTTTTCAAAATAGTGCCCATGCCCATATATACGCCCAGGTATGCCGGAAACACCAGTACATTTACAGGTACTGATACCCAATACTTACTGCTATCCCTATTCCAAGTATACGCCCGGTTCCAAAATAACGCCCGCACCCTTGTATACGCCCAGGAAATCAAGGCTGCTATTCTATACGCCTATACACGGGCTTTTACGGTAGTTCAATACCAATCACAAGCATACACGGAGCTGAGGTTTATTTTTTATTTTTTTACATACAGTCAACTTCGCTAATAACGACTGCAGATTTAACGACAATTCGCGAATAACGACAGAATTTCCATGCCCAGAGCTAAGTCCCATCTAACCGTAATACATACATGTACATGTATAGTGAGACTTCAGGTATAAGGACAACTAAGGACACTTTTCTGATGCCCCGCTAAGTGTCGTTGTATGCAAAGTTGACTGTATTGTAAAGTAGTTCCGGATAGTGCCACGAGTAGGCATTTCCTAAATCGGCCGACTGAAGAATTCGCCGAAAACTGTGGTTTTGAAGAAATCATCCATCTTTTCGCCGAATATGCAATTTTGGCACTGAATTCGCCGAAAAGTGTTATATTTCGTTGGCTGAGCGTAGCGAATGAAACGAAAAATGTATTTTTTGCCAGCATTTTCACCATAGTTACGGTACCAGGATTGCGTCAGCTGGTTTTTTGTCAGTGTTCTCAAACTTTTCTCTTCATCGTGGTCTTTCTCTTTTCGTTGTAGTTTGCATTTTTGTTCGTCCGTGGAAGAGCTTGACCATGCCACAAACAAGAAGTCGAAACTCGCCGGCAAGAGTTTCGCTTGCACCCATGGTTCAAACCACAGTTCCACCCAGAAAAAAGCGGACCTGGTCCGCCTCACCTGGAGCTGTGGGTACGGCCCCAAAGCGTATCCATGCTGGCAACGTCGAGGAGCAAGGACCTGCTCCGGATCCCGTCATGGTGGATTCCCCGGAGGTTGCCGGCTCCCCGCCAGCTTGGTTCGCGCAGGCCCTCAGACAGCTGTCAGAGGAGATCCAGGACGTAAAGAGAGAGACGAGGGCTGCGCGGCCTGAGCTGGCAGCCTCCAAGTCGATCCAGGTCACGTTGAAGCAAGCTGGCCTGCAAAAACAAGTCGACGTAAATCAAACTGTGCTCGATGGCGTGGAGGGAGCGCTCACTCAACTGCCATCAGGTCATGACGCGGCTGCATACCTAGAAAAAAGTAAGGCGACCCTGACCCTCCGCCAGAAGCATCTCCGGATTGCAGACGCTTACGATTGGAAAACAGTCGAAGTATATGAAAACGGTGTGCTGGGTGACGGGATGGCAGATGACAAGAGGATTGCTGAGGTGGCTGCCACAGCACGGCGGATACCAGCACGTCCCGATAGCACGCGGGAGCATCAGCAGCGGAATTTTCGCACCCCCAGCCAGTAACACTTTTTGCCAGCTAGCTGGCCTCTGCGTAGACTACACTGCAGACACAACAGAAAGATACAGATCACAGCAGTAATATCCATAAAAAGGACACACTTCAGATCTTGAAAGTTTTTTGGTTTCACAAGTGCTTCTGCTTGCAAAATTAAATTCACACTTAAGGCCGATTCACAATATAACTTTCTGCGACGCGACACGATTGCGCGATTTGCGACAAGAAACTGCCTGTCGCGAGCTGTCGCGAGCTGTCGCGAGCTGTCGCAAGCTGTCGCAAGCTGTCGCAAGCTGTCGCAAGCTGTCGCAAGCTGTCGCAAGGCACCTGTCGCAGAAGTTGAAGAAAGTTCAACTTTTGCGACATGCAACACGCGACATACACAAATGGAGTACAGTTTCGACCCTGGGTGCACGTGCAGTGCACGTGCATAGTACTACTTGTGCATGAGGATGTATAGTACTACTTGTGCATGAGGATGTATAGTACTACTTGTGCATGAGAATGTCGCAAACATGAAGAATATTGTGAACAGTATGTCGCTGTCGCAGCTCGTCGCATGTGTCGCAAGTCGCACGTCGCGTCGCAAGAAGTTGTATTGTGAATCGGCCTTTAGGCTGTTAGGCAGGTCGTCAAAACCTCGTTAGTTATGTCCAGTGGTTGTCTCTTGTTGTCGCACTACATGTCACGCTTAATTGAGTTTTCTCGCACTTGCACCGTTGTGTCATTATTGCTATGTGTATAGGTCACGCATTTTCGCTGTTTACTTTAGCTATCTTCTTCGTTGCGCTGTTTTACCACCTCCTTACTGTACTTAATCCACTGTTCCTGTTCCTTTTCCTTTGCTTGTAGTTCACCTGATGAGAAGGCTTGAAAGCATACTTGTGAAACCAAAAACTTTCAAGATGTTCGTAAAGAGCCTGAAGTGTTGAAGTGTGTCCTTTTTATGAGTATTACTACTGTGATCTGTATCTTTCTGTTGTGTGTGGGTGTGTCTGCGGTGTACGCAGAGGCCAGCTAGCTGGCAAAACGTGTTATTTTTCGTCGGCTGAGTGTAGCGAATGAAACGAAAAATGCATTTTTGCCAGCATTTTCACCATAGTTACGGTACCAGGATTGCGTCAGCTGGTTTTTTGTCAGTTGTTCTAAAACTTTTCTCTTCATCGTGGTCTTTCTCTTTTCGTTGTAGTTTCCCACCCGCCCTCCCCTTTATTCTCACTTCTGGATAGGTCCTGCAGGCCACGTTGTTTTCTTCATTTATCTGATGGGGATATTCTAACCGGTTCTTCCTCAGGGATGTGCCTCCGCCGTTGTCCTGGTTTTTTTTTCCGCCAGCTTCAGGCTGGCTAATTATCCGGCGGCCCCATTCACCACAGTGGTTCACTTTTTGCATCATGAAGGTCTGGTACATTCGTGTCCATGTATATGTGTGAGGTGGCATGCCCTTCTTCTTGCTCATGTATACACTACGCTAAGCTCTTCCATCTTTCACCGTGAGTGAACAAAGACCACACTACTACGGGAGTGAACAAAGACCACACTACTACTGTGATCTGTATCTTTCTGTTGTGTGTGGGTGTGTCTGTGGTGTACGCAGAGGCCAGCTAGCTGGCAAAAATCGATGTTTTTATACCTCGACAGCATGCAAATGCAATCCCTGTAACCATTATACTGCGAAAAGTGACTGCGACTTTAGGCATTACCGAAATCGGTCAGCGGGAAAAGACGACGAAATCAATGGCTGTGAAGAAATCACCGATAATTGCGCCGAATTTGCAAATTTCGCACTGAATTTGCCGAAAATGGATGTTTTAGTGCCTCTGAAGCATGCAGGTAAATGTACACTGTGTTACGAGCGGTGAATTCAAGTACTGCTTTGAGCCGAATTTTTGACTTTGGGGCTCATATTATGGCTGAATTTGGACATTCTCTTAGCCGATCGAATAGCCGAGTAGGCAAAAAAATCGGGCCGATCTGGGAAAAGCCTAGCCACGAGTCAGTCAAATGTCAAGAAGTTTAGAAGTGTGATCTCCAGGCAGGAGCAACTAACTTCGTCTACTGTGATCACCGAAGTCACTACTTGTAGTACTTCTAAGTTCAGCCGATGATCATAAAAGGGAACAGGTCAGAGAAATCCGACCTCATGAATAATGTAGCGCCGCTCTCAAGTGCGCAGAGTGGTGTGTGTGTGCTTGCTAAGGCCGCGTAGTGCCTGGCACTGCTACTAGTAGTAGAATCACGAGGTCGGATTTCTTTAAGTCAGGACTGTACGTCAAGAACATCATTGGGATTTCTGACACACAGTGCAAACAGACATCTCACAGCCCACCTTTCATCAGCAGCATAGCCAGCAAGAGGGTGAAGTGCGTGTACGGTTGCCATAGTGACAGCTCGGCGTCGAGACAATCCAAGGTGTCCGTGAAGCGCAGGCGCTCATCCCGAAGGGCATCGGTGATCTTCTGCAATGCCACCAAATACAAACACGCATATGCGTGTATGCACATGCGCACGCACGCATGCACACACACACACACACACACACACACACACACACACACACACACACACACACATACACAATTGAACAAGCCACATACATCAGACAATTGCGCCTAATAGCTAAGGATGACAAGAAGCGCAAGAGACCGAGCTTTCCGCATCCGTAGGAACGCCACCACCCGCAAGGATCAAGCTGCAGGTGTACCACCTTAGTGGTGGGAGGTGAGTGTGGCGATTGCCTTGTTTACAGTTCAAAATAGAAATAAACATGGTTAACGCCACATACAGGCAGGGTCCACGAGCTTTTTTTGAGGGAGGGGGATCATTATGGTGTGAGTGGTGTTGCTTACATTTCTCTCCCACTGTTCAGTGGCATCCAGTGCATGCAGACATGCTAACATCAGGTCCAGTCCAAAGCAGTACAGTGGTAGGTAGTTGAGCTGTAGCAATAGATAGCAAGAAGACACCACCAGAACACCACCAGTCATCCATCCATCCACACAACACACCAGCTGGTGTCACAAACAAGCCTGGTTCATGTAGAGCGTTAGAGACACTCAGAGATGAATAAAGTTCTAGATACATGTACTAGTATTGTTCATGACATCATACTGAATACCCATGACATCATGCAGGCTGGGTCATGGCAAGTTTGGCAACCCAAAGCCTTACCTGTAACACACTCATTGCTAGCCAGAACAAGCCAGCGTGGCCACAAAAATCCTGAACAGAATCAAGCAAAGAACAAACACTGTCTTTGAAAGAGGACAAGATTTTATACATGTATCACCATGATGTTCTAAAGTTATCTACACCAGCAAGTACTGGACCTCAAACAGCACTCAGTATGTCAGCCAATCCTACAGTCTACATGCACACTATATGCACACTACATGCACAACAGCACTACAAGAACTATCGGCATGCACATGGACACACATGCAAAGTGACACACGCATACGAGTAAGTGGTACACGCTGCATAAACAGACTCGTGCTCACTCACCAGATCCAGACGGTGGAGAATGTTGGCCAGCGTGCCCAGAATAGCACAGATCAGTTTCTCATACAACAGGAAGTCTTGACACGCCTGTATTAAAGGTAGTGGAGCAGCAAAAACAGCAAAACACGTTGCTCAGCAGTACTGCACCGATAATTAGAGCTGTGTGTGTGTGTGTGTGTGTGTGTGTCTCTCTCTCTTTCTCTCTCTCCCTCCCTCCCTCCCTCCCTCCCTCCCTCTCCCTCTCCCTCTCCCTCTCCCTCTCCCTCTCCCTCTCCCTCTCCCTCTCCCTCTCCCTCTCTCTCTCTCTCTCTCTCTCTCTCTCTCTCTCTCTCTCTCTCTCTCTCTCTCTCTCTCTCTCTCTCTCTGCATGACCAATTGCCCATGCACTTGTCTAAGAGAAAAAGTAGGGCTGAAACGATTATACCAATCACTTGGTAATCGATCGATAATTCCTTATCAATCAAGTAATCGTTACGTTATAGATTACTCGTTAGGGATATTGTGTCCAGAAAGTACTGTAAACCCCCGTGTTGTGAAGTTTGAATCAGTTTCCGCTGGGAGTATGCAGTTGCCAGGGGTATGGTTCATGTTCTGAGGTTAAATTGACTTCAAAACTGCCATGTTTCGGAGCTACGCTTTCACTAATGCAGATTTTTCGGTATTATGAAGGCATAGTTTGTGGAAACAGAGTAATGCTTGCACAGAATTATGACACTATTTGCTAACGATTATAATCGATTACTCGCTCGTTAAGCTAAAGATTGATCGATACGTGAAAATCCACGATCGTTTCAGCCCTAAGAAAAAGCAACCAACGTAGACAGTTGAGCTGCCTGCCCAGTCACATGACGTGTGCTTGTCCGCACAGTGCACAAGGGGTGCAGCTTACCTCATGTAGCAGCTGCAGTAGAATATTGTAGTAGCTCTCTGGTGCAGTGCTGATCATGGCTAGGATAGTCAGGCACGGTGTCAGGAATGTAGTCATCTTATGACTGAGCACACCTCTGAAGAACAGTACGTGTATCGTACACGGAACAAACACACACACACACACACACACACACACACACACACACGCATCAACAATGCACATGCACACACGTGCACAGACAGACCGACAGACATACAGACACACAAGCCCATGCTCACACACACACACACACATACACATATTGGCAATGGATGCACACACGCATACACATACTGTTCAGTATGCAAATTGGCATGTGTCACTACTGTGACTAGTGGCATGCTACACTGCATACAGGAAGCAAGAAGACTGTTAGAAGAAATGCCTCCCTTCGCCTACACTTTATACTTCCAAGTATTTATATATAAACAGATTCCAGTGAAAAGGGCTAAATAATTGATCCAGTAAAACGGGCAAAATGGATATCCAGTGAAAAGGGCGAAATGGACCTAATATTCCAAACAGGATGTGGACAAGAAGAGCACAACAGTTGTCTACATACAGCATAGCAACATGTCTACATACAGCATAGCAACATGTCTACATACAGCATAGCAACATGTCTACATACAGCATAGCAACATGTCTACATACAGCATAGCAACATGTCTACATACAGCATAGCAACATGTCTACATACAGCATAGCAACATGTCTACATACAGCATAGCAACATGTCTACATACAGCATAGCAACATGTCTACATACAGCATAGCAACATGTCTACATACAGCATAGCAACATGTCTACATACAGCATAGCAACATGTCTACATACAGCATAGCAACATGTCTACATACAGCATAGCAACATGTCTACATACAGCATAGCAACATGTCTACATACAGCATAGCAACATGTCTACATACAGCATAGCAACATGTCTACATACAGCATAGCAACATGTCTACATACAGCATAGCAACATGTCTACATACAGCATAGCAACATGTCTACATACAGCATAGCAACATGTCTACATACAGCATAGCAACATGTCTACATACAGCATAGCAACATGAGTGACGTACAGACACAGGTAGGTACACCGAGTCACCCACACTTACTTCTCTGCTAGTCTCTCCCATTGCAGGACAAGCTCATTGCACTGAGATTCATTACACACCGCCTGGGCGAGAGAAAGAGAGAGAGAGAGAGAGAGAGAGAGAGAGAGAGAGAGAGAGAGATTGGATGAAGGCATAGCTTCTACTCTTGACAGCTTTCATCCACGCATCTTTGGTGGTGTACGAGCATGTGTAATTCAGGGTTCTAGCCAAAGGGGGGTAGGGGGGCGCAGCGCCCCCCTACTCCGTTTTCGCGCCCCTACTCATTTTCCGATTTTTGGGTTTTTTCACGCAATTCAACGAAAATACAGTCGATAGTCACTACTAGAGGGTTCATAAAGGCACATTTGTGAGGGGTGAAGTCGGGGTTCACCCTGTATGTTACATTTTGCATGGCAAGACAATTTTGGACAATGGAAAAAATGGGTCATGGGGTAACTTTTTCCCATGCCCGCCCCCCTACTATATTGACCTGGCTAGAACCCTGGTAATTACACCATCATCATGTCATGTAATGTCATGCACAGTGCAGAGTGCAGAGTAAAGTGAAGGCAAGGACAGCAACTAATGGAATCAAAACACTCCACACACTAGCGGAAGCATGGCACACACAGTGACTCTATAAGCAGGACTTACCTTGAGCACATCCAGGAATAATCCAATGAGCATCTGATGGTTTGTGATGAAATCCCAGTGATCTGATAAATCCTGCTCTCCTACGCCTGGACGTGGCATACAAACCAACACAGGGTCAGATGGCGGGAATACCAAAAGTTAGACAGGCACGTGTACAGAACACCAAGGCGAGAGACATTGAGGTGCGACGTATGCATGCTTTGGCAAGGGCATGTAATCCCCCGCTCTCTCTTCCTCACATACACATGCAAGTACACACACATATACAAGTACACACACACATGCAAGTACACACACCCACATGCACAGACACACACACAGACGTACATACACGTCCACACATACACACACACACACACATGTACACACTAAGAATCCTACCGAATGCGTTGAAGTAATGCTGCTGTATCAGGTTATCCAGTCTGACATGTAGCATAGAGCTAATTCCACAATCTGGAAAGAGAATAGGACAAAAAGGATATGCAGTATCCTGACGCTACTGCAGATCAAAGTCTGGAGAGTGATAGACTCCACTAGCATCCTGCTATTCACTTCAAAGGCACAGATGGGCAGATACACATACATGTACACACACGCTTGTAAGACCCCCCCCCCCCCCCCCCCACACACACACACCAGTGTCTACTCCAGGGTTTCAAACCAGCCGGGTACACGTGTGCATGGAATAACTCTTGCAACCGGGTCAGAGCCGCCGGGTATGTTCAAGTGCGGCTATCGGGGAGTCGAAGAAAACTATTTTACGACTCAATACCGGTTGCACATTGTATGAACGTACTGGGCTCTCTGTCCACGTGCGCCTGCACTAGCTACACCCTGTCATATCAGTGTGTACCCCCTCCAAGTATGACAACAAGTACTCTACATGACTCCCAACAGGGTCACATCTGACCCAGTGTTCCTTTCCAAATGGGTCCAAGAACTCCCAACATGACTCCCAACAGGGCCACACATGACCCGGTGTTCTTTTTCCAAATGGGTCCAAGAACCCCCAGCCGGGTCGCTGACCCGGCTGCCCTGGCTCTGGAGCAGACACTGAGTCTGCGACACATACACACAAACGTAGCATCAGCAGCAGCATCAGTAAGACAGCCTGCAATACCGGGCTATACCTGAGTCAATCTTGATGCTCCAGCGATAGAGAGCATGTAGGATGTTGACGGTGAGACCGTGCAGCGCCTCCTGGAGTGGCATGCAACCACTCTGATTCAGACAGATGATCATGTGAAATAAGCGTGGCAGGAGAGGAACAACTACAGTAGTAGCAAAACACACAAACATACACACACACACACACACACACACACACACACACACACACACACACAGACACAGACAAAGGCATGTACATGTATACTTCCTCCGCGTCATCGAAATTGTCGCAGTTTGACTAGTGACTTGTCGCTTGTTACTGACAACTCCATAAGCTAAGCTGTTCAAAACTTATTACACAGTATGATAGTCTGAAGACTAGAGTAACGTTCCAGGACAGTTGGACTGAGAGTTTTCATGCAGAGATGAAGTCCTCGTCGTCGCTGATGTCAATGGACGCAAAAATATCGTTCCGAAATATTTCAAGGAAGGTTGAAAGTTGGTCGCGCCTCATCTCAAATGCTTTGACTTTCTCCACAGGACAAGAGCTGCTATGCTTGTCGTCTGCTAGCTCTGGATGATTTCTACTTCACCACCAACGAAGCCTAGTAAGAATACACGATCGTTGCGAGGTCGGTTGATTACCGTCGGCGGAATCACCTCGATCTTGAAATGAACTTTTTTTAGCCGCGGCATGCCCATTTATTTTAGCTGTGTGGTCACAGCTCATGCAGGTAAGTGTACTATCACGTCCAGCGCGCACTCTTTTTCAGCATCACTGCCGGCCCGGCCCTGATTCACTGGTATCATGGTACGGCACCTGCGTGTGCATCACTAGTACAGACACTAGCACTATGTGTAAAGTCTACACGGCTCTTGCAGGTACAATCATGTACTGAGTGTCTCGGCCAGAGCGACAAATTTTATCGCTGGTGAAGGCATTTAGTTTGCTGACCCCTCGATGTTTCTCCAAGCGCTGCCACTTGTTCCACGAAGTCATTCTCACCCCAGCTAAGGTAAAACAGTGATGAGGCTTGAGTGAATGGCCATAAGCACGAGAAATGTGCAGGCTGCAACGCCTGACTGATTTCAGCGAGTTGAAATTACCATCGCAGCGACATCAGCGAAGAAATTGCGTCTAGTTCAAAAATTCCAGCTTCCAATAACAGAAAATAGAACTTTGCCGTCACCCTATACTGATGACCGTCGCCTATGTCCGATTCCTTGCCTCTGGTACGAGTGCTGGTGAGTAAAAAACCCGTTTTATATCAAAAGTCAAACTGCGACAATTTCGATGACGCGGAGGAAGTATGAGGTACAGAAACCGTTGAAAAGTAGTGACAGAAACAAAGTCCTAAACATTACCGGCAAACACATCGGATGGAACATAGACAATGAATGTTCATTGGAACAGATGGTGGAGAGACTTGCTCTCAGCCCAGTGTTCACGGGCATGGAATAACGATTTAGGCCACATTCGGCATACGGGTGAACTACCCTTCGTAGGAGGACTACCCAGATGCAGGCATTCTTGGCTACTGGGAGCCCTTCTGACCCCTTCTGACCCCTCCGTACAGGAGTCCATGACCAAGGGTATGCAACTGTGGTCATGGTCCTTATGGGTCAGTGTGCGACACGCTCCCTTCATTACTTAACTTGCCTTCATCATGCCCTACATTCATCACACGCTCGAAACCCCCACCAATATCTCGTGCTAGCAAGCCCACTTTTCAGCTTGATTCATTTCAGGTGGGGCGCGATCCGTAGGTTCTGGTAGCACAAACTTCAGTTCAGTCACGATTCTCCCAAATGTTGGTTTCCCAACAATGAAGTGGGGTTCTTGATTTTCGCAGTACGAGGATGAAGTTGCATGATAGGGAAAGAGTTGCAGAATAAAGGGAGTTCTGCTCTATGCATATGCGTGCACGGAGAAATGATCCAGTGATGGGAAGGGAGGAGAGCTCATTGCACAACGTGCAACACGGAAGGGAAATGAAGAAATTGAGCCGCTAGGTTACAAGTATCAGTGGTTGCAGTCAAAACACCTGTCAACTTACCATCAAAGCACTCTTCCAGCACACAGCTACAGACAAAGTAGGCTAGGAAGGATAGCTCAGTCCACTTGTCCAGGTTTTCCAGTGTGCGTCCACAACTCTCCTCACTCTGTAGAATCTGCAAATGGCAATAAAGAACGGGAAAAATAGGCTGATGATGGGATGGCGATAGAGAGTAGAAAGGCCAGGCTGATGGTGGGATGGCAATAGAGAGTAGGAAGGCTAGGCTGATGATGGGATGGCAATAGAGAGTAGGAAGGCCAGGCTGATGGTGGGATGGCAATAGAGAGTAGGAAGGCTAGGCTGATGATGGGATGGCAATAGAGAGTAGGAAGACTAGGCTGATGGTGGGATGGCAATAGAGAACAGGATAGCCAGGCTGATGATGGGTCGCTGCACACTACACATGTACAACAACTATAGCGGCAAACACATGGTGACACACACACACGAGAGAAATCAGATTTCTTCTAGGTGGCCGTAAGTCCTCCACACCTCTGTACAGCTCTCAGCTAAAGCTCTTGCCAGGTGCAATGGTAGAAACGGGACAACTGGCCAGGGGGACCGGTCCTGACAGAACAGTCAAGAGAAATATGATTGTGCCCTTGGCTAGACCTATACAAAACTCCACACATGGAAATCAGAAGGGTTGATATCAGCACCACTAATAGTTCATGGCTCTTACTAAGAAGACCTTGTCCAGTAGAACGGAGAGAATGTTGTCTGGCGCGGCATTGCTGCTAGCAGAATTGGTCAGACCCAGTACGATGCCACAAGCTCTCTCCACGTGGATAGTCCCTAGAGAGTACACACCGGCGTTCTGAACGCACACACATAGGCACAAACACACACACACAGTGACACACATCACATGGACACACATTCCGACATAACTTAGATGTAGTGAATGGCATACTTGCACAAAACAATTCCTTCTGTCGTACTTGTTGGTGTATCACTTTGTGTTGTTCTCTCACTGTTCATTGCTCACCTTCCATTATTATCATCCTGTTTGTGACAACACCTGGTCTAGTAAACATCTAGTCCCTGTTTGCACGGCAAGTGAGCCTCAGGGGAAACTTACTGGGAGAACGTCAGAGATCTACAACTGCCATTACTACAGATGAGCTACAACTCCATCTTCTTGGTCCCAGCGATATTACTATCAGGACATTTTGTAACAGAAGGCAACAAACTCATCACCAGTGCTTTGACTACCGTAAAGTACCGTTGATCCGCCCCCACGCCATGTCGCTTCCCAGCTGGGTTTTCGGTAGGGGGCGGGAATTAGATCAAGGCTGTCAAGTGCAGTACGATGTACAACAATGTGGAAGATCAGACTCGATGTGCTGGATTGTGCACATTTTCATCCTGCACTGGCACGTATTGTGTACAGCAGTGCATGCGTCGGTTCAACATCGTATTTCGTTGTATACGCCGAAGTCGCTTCACAGGTAGAAAATCGACAGGGGGCGGCAATTAGAGAGGGGGCGGATCAACGGTACCTTACGGTACTAGTATACAGCCTCTGGCAGTACACACTACAACGAGTAGAGAAAGTAAGAATACATGGCATAGGAAAAGGCGGAATGGGCACACAAAACACCCTTGGTGTATAGTATACCGCCAGCAGCTGACCACGTACCTGAACCAGTGGCTTTAGAATCAAAGGAAACATGTTCCGATACTTTGCCATCGGCTGCCAGATGTGCTCAATGATTGAACTGTACAGCTGCAAGGAGAGAGAGAGAGAGAGAGAGAGAGAGAGAGAGAGAGAGAGAGAGAGAGAGAGAGAGAGAGCGAGAGTGAGAGAGAATACACATCAGCACAGGGGAGAAAAGGCTGGCAGGCACGACTGGCAGGCACGACAAACCTTCAAGCCAAGGTGGCTGCGAAATGAAACACAGCATCAGAGTGCATACCGGGGAGTACATCACTTAGTTGGAACACTGTGTGGATTGCTGCCCGCACATACACACACCGTAGAACCAATCAAGTTCTGTTGCCACCTACATTAACTTCAGTCCAGGCAAGGAGCAACAAGCTCAGAAATGGACAGGTGTCCTTCATGAATAGCTTTCAGACACTAAAATCCTGCACCGATAAAAGAGTGCACACGTGTGTACGCATGTGCATGTGTGTTGGTGACTTGCAACTTGAACATGCCATGTATCCATCTGACCAATGGAACATCAAACGGTACGAGGAAACAATAGTAACTGCTAGTGTCTTAGCTGTAGCAACAAGAGTAGATGCACCATGGAGCTGATAACAGCAACAGCAGCAGCAGCAGCAGCAGCAGCAGTAACAAACACTCACAGCTGTGCTCTCGCTGATGGAGAAATTTATCAGGTGGTCAAGAAGAATGGTTGCTTTCTCCTTGCCAGTTCCCAATGAATCATCGAGTCCTCCTGTTGAGAACCTATACATCACAGTGAACACGGCACGAAGAGCAGCAATACCAGGAAACTCTCCACATCACCTTCCTGTCTGGTGAAATATTGTATCCAACCAGCACACTTGCTCGTCCATCAACTGCTGGTGCAGATGGTGGAATCAGGGCTGGGTGATGTTTAACCATTGCCATGACCTGACACATTGTAGCATGCATGTGTGTGTGTGTGTGTGTGTGTGTGTGTGTGTGTGTGTGTGTGTGTGTGTGTGTGTGTGTGTGTGTGTGTGTGTGTGTGATTTGCTGGTACCGTACCCATACACTGATGAATCATGTTGTGTAGCCAATGCACACATGTCATAGCTTTGCAGTGCACACACTTGAAGTAGTAGGAGTAGTGCTAGTAGCAATACAGATTTATTTGACTTCCACAGAAGCGCATGCACGACTACGTCGACTACATTTGCCTATTTAACCAACGAGATTCAAAGGGGAATTTCGAGAGAGAGAGAGAGAGAGAGAGAGAGAGAGAGAGAGAGAGAGAGAGAGAGAGAGAGCACATTGCATTTTGAGAGTAATAAACTTACAGCACGAAGTTCTGAATCCAGGGCTTGAGTATCTTTAGTGACCAGCTAATCATGTGCGGGGATGAGCTCAGGCAATGGTTCATCGTTTCTCGCCAAATCTACACAATCAAACAGAACCAAGCGGAGCCAAGCCATGTCGAACCGAGCGCAATGCAAGGAATGAACACGATTAGAGTGAAGAGAATAAGCAACAAAGTGGCAAAATGGCAAAAGAGAACAAGTCAGGTCTGGTAAGATCTACTTTGAAGTCGCTAACAAATTCAGCTGTACCACTCCGCAATGTTAAACCATGTGATCTATTCTGTTCATGCATGAGGTAGCAACACAAAGGAACCTAAATCAGGTACTCATAAACATCAAGTAGAATAAACGAATCCCATCCGTTAGGATAACAGAGTCAGCTTGACTCCCCCCCCCCCCCCCCTCCCCCCTCCCCCACACTCATTCTCTCAGCAAATTTCCCCTACCTTCCCTTCATCCGAGTAAAGATGTATATCATGCTGTTCTAAACTCAATCCCCGGAGAGCTAGCTGTTTCGACCTTGTTGGATCTCATCAGCGGAGACACACTTCTATGCATGTGTAGTATTGTGTACACATTTTGCATGTACATGTGGTTGTAGCCACGCGCTACTACTCACCTCTAACGTCAGAAGCGGAGCGCTGGTCGCCAGTTTCGTGCTCATCGTGCAAAGATTGTCGATTCCAAACGAGTAGAGCAGTACTGCACAGCACACACGGATATAAGATAGCACACACACCCACACACGCACACACGAGCACAATCATACGCACAAGCCAAAATAAACACAAAATTCAGAGTGGTTTTCTTTCTTGTACCAATACTTCAGTGCACTTCTAAGGTCTTTTCAATCAATGCCAATCAAGTAGAAATATTGCTGAGGAGCCAGGCTGAATAAAAATGCAGAACGCAGGATATTTTTTTGCAGAGTGTGAGGGGAGTGAGGGGTGCATTGGCATTTGTTGAAGAAATTCTGCAGTTTGTAGCCAATAGAAGTGCCAGCAGTGCTACATACCTGGGGTATCTGCTGAACAATGAAGCATGGCTGAAGAGTCGAGGTTGAATGCTTTCAAGCCCGCGATCATCAGGTTGCATGCTGTCATACGAAGCTTTGCATCACTGCTCGTCATGTTATGCATCGCCTGCAATGCAAACAAACACACACGGCATTTACACATACAGACATCAGGAAACACATTTCCCAGCATTAATCGGCATGCACACAAGCATGGCATGCACACACACACACACGTACGAGCTAGGCGCACGCATGCAGCAAGGTGAACCATTGTGCATGCATACATGCTACCACTAACACTCCACATGACTATGTGGATCCTACAATTCATAACACAGGGCATATCCCTAGCCGAAGTGAACGGATCTGCCGGCTAGTTACTCGATGTTATACATGTACATTGGCAGACTAAATCTGCCAACAGTTCTGGTGAGTAAAGTATCATCCTCTGCACTGACCAGGCTCAAGACGATGCCGTGTTGACTTTCACCAATTGTACAGCGACTGAAGCACTTCTGCAGTGAGTGCTTCGTGAGACCAGAATCCTGCAGACATGTGAGAGAATGCACAACACAATCAGTCATGTGGGAATAGTAAGGGTCTGATCACACTATTGGCACCAAACTGTGGGCCAATATCATTGTGGATGCAGCTGGAATAGTTGTGAAATTGGCTGCTCTTAACGCTCTGCTCCGCATCCCTTAGCACTTTTCATGACTGCTGCTGCTGATGCACGCCCTTCACAGAGAGACGTAATCAGAGCCACGATGATCAGTGCTCTGACCACACTTGACGCTTTTACCAGAATGGGTGTCTATTCCCTGTCACATTTAGCTGCTGATTGCCATACTGTAAGACAGGTAAGTATAACGAGGAAACAAATCTAACGTTTCAACGGGTGACATTTCTTCGTTATAATAAGTTCTGTTGAGGCTGTAAGGCCACATATGTGATATGTGCGGATATGCCTGAAGATTGCAAGACCGTTATCATACGTTCTCGTTAACGTGTGGATTTTGGACAATCGTTAAATTTGCGACTTGTTATAATAACATGTCTTACAGTAACTCAAAGTCATCTGATACTATGCATGATTACTCCATCTGCAGACATGTTTAAAGCTTAATGCTATTCTCACATATGGTACTCTTCATTACAAACATAGTTTCTGTTGAGTATTACCAGAAGAAGAAAAAAAACAGGAACAGCAAGGACAAGAACAGCAACAGTGCAAGAATCTTGGCAGCCACAGCCATCACCCCCTTACCACTCGTGTCGAGACACGGAACTCAGCTGCAGACTTTGTAGCCTTCACCTTGCTGGTGTCAGTAGGTAACCTGCAGGAAGACACACAGAGAAACGCAGGTAGACGACGTATGTCACTTATCACACTATACCGTAGTGAAGGGGACTTCTTGTTGGATAACTGGCACCATTCTATTACGTAGGATTTCACTGGTTTATATAGAATGTTCATAGAGATTGTCCATGCTCATAATTATTGCAAGTTGATGGGATTGCCCGATGTCACATACAGAACAGATTTTGAATAGTTTCAAGTGTTTAATAGGATCTAACGAGAACAAGGTAGTAAGACAAGATGCAAGGACGGTGACTTACTTGGGTGCTGATGCCACACACGAGTCCAGGCCTGGAGGTACACCGAGGTTTCCCAGACAGAGAATGAGGTCCTGGAAGAGATGATGTCCATCTGGAACTTTCCTACACGGGTGTGAATATAGCAGAGCATGGGGACAGAAAGTACAGGGAGGATCATAATATTGTCTTGGTCATAGTATCTACAGGAAAGAAATTCATAAGGAGCAAAAGTGGACGGATTGGTAAAGTGGTTGAAAAACCCAGGTTCTATTGTACATGTAGTAAAGATGTGAGCTTGCAGGAGAGTTCCGACTCGTAGCAAGCTTTCAAACCGTGGTTTAACGTCCTAACCCAACTGGCCATAAATCATATTTATGCAGTACAACATGCTTGCTCAATACTGTAAATCAACAAATTCTCGCTGGCGATTTAATTTCGCTGATTTCGCCGGTCGATGTCAAGCGGCCAAAATTAATCGCCGGCCAAAATTTGTCACCAGAACCAAACGTCAGTTTGGGTCAGGAAGTACTTTTTCGAAGTAGTACAATACCAATACCATTGTACTACTCCCTGGTTTGGGTCACTCTTATGCCGCCGGACTCTCTGTAAAAAGTACAGTAGATAGGGGTCTACAAACTACGCGGACCTTTGTTCTACTACGTATACGAGTAGTACATGCGCACACGAAACATCGATCACTGTTTTGGAATCTTGCACGCCCACAGCGAAAGTTTAGTGGCAGTGAAAAGTGCTTTTTGGAGATCGGCGAAAGTTTTTCACTGGCGAAAATTTGTTGATTTACAGTATACACAACTCACGGGAACAGCTTTGGAAAATGTGGAAGAGAAACTGGGTAGTGAAGAGGCACCTTCCCATCTCAAGGATCTGGGTCAAACACAAAGCAGCTGTG